ATTAATAAAACCAAATATATTATAATTTGAATAGAATAATAAATCATTAAGTTACAAGCACACCAAATTTTTTTTTTATTGTGTATACCAAGTTTTTTGAGTCGAGGGGCCAATGACAAGCCGCGTGTACCAAAATGTTTGCTAAGGGTTTTATAAAGTAGAAATTACGTGGTATGTCAAAAGGTGGTCTAGAGTCTACTTCCTAAGAAATTTTTCAATGATAGAAACACGGTTAGATACACTGGGTGTCACAATATAAGTTGTTGAAATTTTTTTTTTTCAAATATTCAACCACATATATTATGATACTTGGTGTACCTAACAGTATTTTTGGCACACTGAAAATTCTCTTTTACTTCACATATGGTGTACACCTAATAAACTCTTAGGCCTCGTTTGGCACGCCGTATAAGAGCACCGGATAGTATTAATAGTACGAAACAGATGTTTGGTGAGCTTCGTATTAAATAAGCACCGGATTATTTAATACGGGCCCACTCATTTTATACACCTCCCACCCGCTTATTTATCTCAACCAAAACCTCTGTATAATTTAGTCGGGTAGAGTGTCCATCTCTCTCGCTCACTTCGTCCCCCTCTCTCTCGCTCACTTCGTCCCCCCATTGCTCCGCCACTCCTTCCTTCCCCAATAACACCGACCCCCGAACCTCCACATCTCCTCCGCCGCTCCCAGCAACCCAACTCCTTCTTTCTGCAAAATTCTTAGAACTCGAGCTGCAAAACGCTAACTTTTCGAATTGGGTTTCTCTAGGAATTGCAGAGAATTATAGGACTGGAGATGTTTTATGAGTTTTTAGCTTAATTGCTCCCTGATTTTGTTGATGGATTTAGGCGATTTGGGGGTGGGACGGAGAGATTTGGGACAACTTTGTGGCTGCTGGGTTCTTCCTGCATTTGACAACTTTGTTTTTTTTCTATTCTTTTTCTTTTCCAGTAATCATCAAACTGGGTTTGGGGGGTGCAGAGAGATCTGCGAAAGAGAGAGAGGGATGGAGTTTGGGGGGTGCAGAGAGATCTGCGAAAAAAAAAGATGATTTCACTTTTTTTTTTAATTTTATTTTAAGTTTGATTTCTCTTATCCGGTATAATACCAAACATAGTATAAATAATACGATTATTAATCCAATACTGCACCAAACGTCCGATTAATTTAGTCAGTACTATCCGATGACTATTTATCCTATCCAATAGAAATAGTCAGTACAGTCCGAGCTGCCAAACGAGGTCTAAAAGATGAGAATCCATCCAATCGAAATCAAGGGCCAAAGCTCCACAGGGTCTCTTGGTGCATTTGCTTGTGGTCCTCCTTGAAAATTGGACTAGGGTTTTGACAAAGTCTTCCTATCTAAATATCCGACACAACGTTTACATCTCCATTATTTGGCCCTCCTTGGTACGTGTTCAACTTTCGAATAATGACACAAATTACTATCTAAATATCCGACACAACGTTTACATCTCCATTATTTGGCCCTCCTTGGTACGTGTTCAACTTTCGAATAATGACACAAATTACTAAAGTTCCTTTGGATTGATTGGTTATGTAACGGCACAAGAGTACTACAAAGTACAAAGTACGTACGAGTGAGGAAATGTCCAAAAGATGAATAATTTACATATTACAATATGGTGAAAAACATGATTAATATCCCGTTGTTGAGGGTATATTAATAAAATTAAATACATATATTATAATTTTAATAAAATAGTAAATCACTAAGTTACAAGTACGCTAAAAAATATTTCGTTGTGTCTACCAAGCCTTTTGAGTCAAGGGGCCAATGAGAAGCTGCGTTACCAAAAATTTTGCTAAGGGTTTTATAAAGTAGAAATTACATGGTATATCAAAAGGTGGTCTAGAGTCTACTTCCCGAGAAAATTTTCAGTGTCGGAAACAAGACTCAATACACCAAGTGTCATAATACAAGTGGTTGTATTTTTAACCACATATATTGAGCAATACTAGGTAGGCCAAATTTTTTAAACCAAAATTACAAACTAAATGTTGTGGTTGTAGATGGTTAGATTATTAATTAAGTGTCGATTAGCGTGTTTGTTTCTTATTGGTGACAAGTCATTTGATTTGCACTTTGGTATAAAAAATTTGATCTTCCTAGCACTACTCCACATATATTATGGCACCACGCAGTACCAGGACAAGGAGAAATTTTTAGTTGTGACAGGAACACAAATGGTACACCACGTGTTTTAATATGAGTGGTAAGAAATTTTATTTTTTAAGTTATTAACTTTTTAGCGCACATATCTCACTATTTGTATAGTGACACGTGATGTACCACCCTGTGTACCGATCACACTGAAAAATCTCTCAAGGACCATGACCTTTGCTTCCTTATTTTCCTCTTTTTCTTTCTCTTCCACCCAATCCCAACCGTTGGATCCTTAACCCAACGCAATTGACTTCATCCGTACAAGTTGTAGAACCACGCAATACAATGACCTTAGGCCATCTCCAACCGAAGGGTCCAGAAGGCCGAAAATAGCCCTAAAATCGTCTCCAACCGAGGGCTAGGCCAGAAGGCTCGGGAATCTGGGAGGGCCGCACGGAATTTCAAAGGGCCAAAGGGCCAAAGGGCTGGCTGCTTTCGACCAGCCAGCCCCGGGCTGGCTATTTTTTTTTTATAGTTTTGTTATTCCTGTCGGTTATAACCGACAGGAATACATGCTATTATTTAATATACTAAATAATGGTGTATTCCTGTCGGTTATAACCGACAGGATTTTAAAAAAAAATTCAAATGAAACGGCTACTAGCCGTTGCATTTGATTTGATTTTTTTTTACATTATTTATTATTATTATTATTTATTTACAAAAAATTTCATATAACTTCTATTTTTTCCTATAACTTCTATTTCACAAAATTTGGTTCATATTTTTTTTAAATTCCATTTTTTTCCTATAACTTCTATTTCACAAAATTGTTTCATATTTTTTTTTCCTATAACTTCTATTTCACAAAATTTATTTCATATTTTTTTTAAATTCCATTTTTTTCCTATAACTTCTATTTCACAAAATTTATTTCATATTGTTTTTTAAATTCCATTTTTTTTCTATAACTTCTATTTCACAAAATTTGTTTCATATTTTTATTTTGAATTCCATTTTTTTCCTATAACTTCTATTTGACAAAATTTGTTTCATGTTTTTTTTTTAAATTCCATTTTTTTCCTATAACTTCTATTTGACAAAATTTGTTTCATATTTTTTTTAAATTCTATTTTTTTTTCCTATAACTTCCTAAGCCATTATACAACATTAAATTAAATTAAGTAACATGAAACAACGTTAAACAATATGAAACAACATTAAATAACATTAACCAACATAAAAATTATACAACATGAAACTTAAACAACATTTTAGTTGTAGTTTTTAAATAATAAATTATGTTTGGCCCTCGGTTGGAGACGGAGGCAAATATGGTCATGTACTGTTCATTAAAATATTAATATCTTGGGGAATCTTGGAGGGCCAGAGGGCTAAAACGAGCCCTCTGGCCAGCCCTCGGTTAGAGATGGCCTTAGCTATGCCTCCCTTTCCTGCTGATTCTAAATCAACTATGAAAACTCCTTTCATTGGCTAGTCCAGATTCAGCGTACAGAAAAAAAAAAAAGCCTTAATACTTCACAATAAAAACCTAATGAAGTTCTTTTCTACTATATAAACCCCCTGTCCCAAGGAAAAGAAAAAAACCTTGATCTCCTTGATATGGTGAAAAACATGATTAATATGCCAGTTGCTGAGAGTATATTAATAAAATCAAATACATATATATAATTTGAATAAAATAGTAAATCACTAAGTTACAAGCTGCGTGTACGAAAATTTTAGCCAAATGTTTTACAAAGTAGAAACTATGTGGTATATCAAAAGGTGGTCTAGAGTCTACTTCACGAGAATTTTTTCAGTGCTGGAAACATGGCTCGATACACCAAGTGTCATAATACAAGTGATTGTAATTTTTTCTTTTCAAGTATCAAACCATTTATATTATGATATTTGTTGTACCGAACTGTGTTCTTAGCACACTGGAAAATCTCTCTTACTTCACCTATGGTGTACACCTAATAAACTTCTAAAAGATGAGAATCCATCCAATCGAAATCAAGGGCCAAAGCTTGACAGAGTCTCTTGGTGCATTTGCGAGTGGTCCTCTTTGAAAATTGGACAAGGGTTTTGACACTCTTCCTAACTAAATATTCGACGCAACGTTTACATCTCCATTAATTATTTGGCCCTCCTTTGTACGTGTTCAGCTTTCGAATATACTGACACAAATTACTAAAGTTGCTTTGGATTTATTAGTTATTTAACGGACACAAGAGTACTGCAAAGTACGTACGAGTGAGGGAATGTCCAAAAGATCAATCTGATACTTTTTTGAAAGAAATCGAGGAAATTAAACTGCTGTAAGTTAGACTTTTAAGGAATGATACTGATTGGTCTTAATTTATAACAAAATCTCAACAGTAATTTGTCGAAAGATTTTGATTTAAGCGATATTATTGCTTTAAGCTCACTAAAAACTCATGAGAGAGTTTGAACACGAAACACTATTAGTTGTAGAAAACAGCCTTATCCACCAAATCAATTCAGTATTACAATTTCTATGGCCAAAGTGGTAAAACTTTCGTCTTCCATCCCTGTCTTTATATACAGCTGATCATACAAGGACGAACTACAAAGAATCATGACTCCGAGTCAATTGTCCGCATTTATGTTTTAGTCTTCCACCGTCTTATGTTGTGGCCTAAAAGGTCGATGATCGCTCAACTGGCAATAGGAGACTGATAAAGATAATTTTCTCGGAGTAGATTTTTAATGTCTCGCATTTTATCAAAAGGTCAATTATAAAAAGATTGGAATTTCTCAAAATCAATTTATAAGGCTTGGTTCCTTATAAAAAGTGATTGGAGTGATAAAGTCTACATAACCTATTTATCCCCGAAAGAAAAACCTTTACCGCACGTACACCAATCACGTAAGCCCTACAAAGGCAAGTTGTGGTCTATAAAAAAGTCCCCGTTGGCCCTCTGAAGATCACAGATCAAAGTTCAAACCATGGAGTTCAATGCATATTTTCTTGTGTTCTTTTCTCTTCTATTCGTGCTGCAGTATAGTTCTTGTAGAATCACTGCACCATGCAGTCAAACCCCATACCCTCAAGTGTGTCGCCATTACATTAACACTAACCTCTTATCAACCCTAGATCGTCACCAAAGGTTTGCAGTTCGTGACTTGGCACTTAAAGTGTCCATGGACCAAGCCCTTAAAGCTCATCAACTTGTCTCGTCCTTGAACTTGAACTCATTGGACGGTGACCATACTCGAGCCAAGGGGGCCTGGAATGACTGCTTGGAGCTCTACGAGGATACCGTTGACAAGCTCAACCGTTCCATCGGCTCCACCAATGCCCTTGATGTCAATACATGGTTGAGTGCATCGCTTACTAATCAACAGACATGCCAAAATGGTTTCAAAAACCTCAACATTCCTAGTTCTCATTTGCAATCTTTCCCAAACTACGTCACGCTCTCAACCAACTTGTCCAAGATGCTTAGCAACTCACTATCAATACACAAGGTCTCAACTTCTTCATCAGCTCTACATTTTAGCAAACAAGTTCGTGGAAGACGACGGCGTTTGCTTTCGGATGATGGGTTCCCAGAATGGGTTTCAGCCGCTGATCGAAAGCTGCTACAATCGATAGGTAGCGGACCAAACGCTGATATGGTAGTAGCACAAGACGGGTCCGGGAATTACAAGTCAATTTCTGAAGCTGTGGATGCTGCGTACAAGCTACAGGGTGGGGCGACTAAAAGGTTTGTCATACACGTGAAGGCAGGAGTTTACAGAGAAAATATCGAGATTAAGAGGACAATGAAGAACATCATGTTCATTGGAGATGGTATCGATGCAACGATTGTCACAGGGAATAAAAATGCCCAAGATGGTTCAACTACATATCGCTCTGCCACATTTGGTAAGTATGAGTTGAAACAATAATGAACTTTGAATCAGTTTAAGGGGTATTTGGACTCAACAAACCCCATCACCTTAAGTTAATTTTGAAACTTTAGGTGGCGTCACAGTTAGATACTAATTGATTGAAGACCAAATTAATTAAGGGTCATTTTGGTTCTGGTCACTAATCAATCTAGTTGTTAGAATGAAATCTTATTTGTTTAAATAGTTTGATCAAGGTCCCTAGCATCATTTAAGGGATTTAGCTCATGCATTTATGCACTCAATATCCCACAAATTATGAATTTAAAAAAATCCAAATAATATTGTTACAAATATAACAATGACTTAAAAATCAATAATAAAGTAATTTGTTCTTTACATAGTTCTAGCAAAAAAAAAAATGTACCCACGTAATTATTAATATAGTGCAAGAAATAACTATTTGATATATTTTAAAACATAAAAGAAACATATAATATGATTAGCATGGGTACGTTCATAAAAAAAAACTATTGGTATATTAAATTAAAAGTATGGGTACATATTAAAATTCAAAACTATGGGTGCAAATTTAATTGAAAATAGAGGTACATATTAAAATTCAAAATTATGGATATAAATTAAAACTAAAAGGAATATTGGTATAATTTTTTTAAAAAATAGGACACAAATTATAGATAGAAATATATGAAAAAAATACTAAAAATATTATATTTGAAAATATTAATACTTTTTTTAAATTGACATAGAAGGACTTGTAAATAATTTAATATTCAATTAATGGCATGAAGAAAAGTCAAGGGATCTTGATCAAAAACAAAAAAAGAATAAGGTTTCAATTATTAAGAAGGATAAATGAGGGATGACCGAATTTATCCTTTAATTAATTAAGTCATGATCGATTTGAAAGTGCTAGAGAGACCAACTATTTAGATTAAAATTTGTAAACTATATGACGCGGTTGTTGATGATGAAATTATTACCTAAGTGTTAATTAACGTGTTTATTTCTTACTAGTGACACATCACATGGTTTGTAAATTAGTCTATCATATTATTCTTCACTTAAAGCATGTTTTGTAAATCAAATAACATTATTATTGATAATTGAATTATTAAATATGAATTAACGTACTTAATTTGTATCATTACTCCTACTCAAATTATAAAGCTATTTACCAGATCCTGCTTTTCCTTTTACTTTAATTTTTTTTGTTCCTTTTCTTGACAAGATTTAAATACTGATAACCTAGCTAATTACATGCCACGTGAATAGTTACAAGTGTTTCTCCTAGTATACATCTAATAGTTCACAAAATTAATAAACTGTTCACTTAAAATTCAGGGGCTACCGGAGATGGCTTTATTGCTCAAGACATGACATTCGAAAACACTGCCGGACCACAGAAACACCAAGCCGTGGCACTCCGCTCCGGCTCCGATCATTCAGTCTTCTACCGTTGCAGCTTCAAGGGTTACCAAGACACCTTATACGTGTATTCCCAACGCCAATTCTACCGCGACTGCAACATATACGGCACGGTCGACTTCATCTGCGGCGACGCTACGGTTGTGCTCCAAAATTGCAACATCTACGCGAGGAAACCAATGAGCAACCAAGTAAACACCGTGACAGCGCAGTCTAGGACCGACCCGAATGAAAACACAGGCATTGTTATTCATAATTCGCGAATCACGGCTGCAGAACAAGGTTCGTTTAAGACGTACTTGGGTAGGCCGTGGAAAGAGTACTCTAGGACGGTAATTATGAAGAGTAATCTTGATGGGATCAATCCTGCTGGTTGGTTTCCGTGGAGTGGAAGCTTTGCCCTCTCCACACTTTATTACGGGGAGTACATGAACTCCGGCGCTGGAGCTGGTACTGGAGGGAGGGTCAACTGGCCCGGTTATCGTGTTATAACGAGTGCAGTGGAGGCCGGAAAGTTTACGGTTGGGAACTTTTTGGCCGGAGATTCGTGGATTCCGGGGACCAGAGTTCCATTTACAGCTGGTCTATGATAATGCATGCATATGGTTGTGGAGAGAAGTTGTTTGAATGGTTAGGGAGGGACTTGTCACAATTGTGTATTGTTGTGTGCGGATAGTGACCTAAAGTAAAAATCGTCACATAGCTTGTTTTTAGCTTCCTTCTGGTAATTATATCCCGTTCATCCCTCCTGTAATGCAGTAAATATTTTCAAACTCTTACCTCATGTTATTATGGTGTTATTAATTGAGAACTTGTTTGAAAGTGCTTATAAAATAAATAAAAGTGTTGTTGGTGAAAATATTTTTAGAACTAATTCTTGATAAATATGTAGGTGAATCCTGAAAAGACAATTTAAGTGCTTTTAGAACTCAAAAATATTTTTTTTTAAATGTTTTCAATCATTTTAAAAACAAAGGGATCTGCAAAGGCAATTTCCGTCATTTGCTTTCGCTACCCGCTGTAGCTTTTGAATTCTGTCTTCTTTATGGTCTAAAAGAGGGAAAAAAGGGATCTGCAATGGCTCCTCTCCATCTTTAAATATTCAATTCTCTATAGCATGTTTTCAAAATTTCCCAATTCATGAAAGGCCGTGGATTGAGGGAGATACATGGCGGTCTGGTAGTGATTGTTCAAGAATGAGTTTTTCTCTTTAATTTCTCCGATTACAGTTTTGCCGATTTTCTTTCGATCTCCCTTTCTTGTCTATGCTGTTTTCTTGTCCCTTGTGATTATATAAAAGCATCATTCAGATCCACACAAAAAATCCTGATTTGAATTTGGGATGTTCTTGGCTAAAACTTGATGGATTTAAGAATTAATTAGTTTTCAATCTTAAATTAAACTAGTAACAATTGTTCTCACAGTACTTCATTGATGTCTCCTTAGGAGTTTGGATGGTCTAGAACGCCATTGGAGCGAAAGACAAGAACCAGAGACGACAACGGAAGCTAACATTTGAAGGAGAATTTTTTTTGTCGCCCACCGCTTTAGAATTTTGAATAGTAAAATTTAATTACACAACAGAGTAGTCACGTGTTTTATTTTTATTGGCCGAGATCCTTGATCCTTTTCCTGGGGATTTCGAGAATTCCGTAATCGTGACCGTTCATCGTATATCGTGCAATCGGTTTTCGTTAGGAAATATTTATATTTAATTGTAAATTTTAAATAATTTTTTATCGCACGATATACAATGAACGGTCACGATCACGGAATCGCCGGTTTCCGACTTCCGGGACCCTGGAAAAAATTCTCCCGCTTACAAGTTACATTAGCCGTTGATTGTGGCTACTACTGTGCCACGTGTAGCAAAAAGGAAGCCAATTTCTCACGCATTTCAGCATCTCGAACAGAGAATTGAACGGATTTTAACCGTGGGATAAAGTAAGACACGAAGACTTGATTAGATGAAAAGTTAAGTCAAAATGAAAATGATTTTCGAGGGGCAAAGCGACATTCACAAACGCTTTCGGGGACCAGATACGCACTTGCAAAAAGCAAATTATACATTGGTTCAAAGCACACCAGATTTGGACAAGAGATTGCAAAACGTAGTTCGCATTATTTTGGACGAACAAAAATTGTTGGCATCGGAGTCCGACAGACCCATCAAAGTTACAAAAAAGGTTCTCTTATTACCAATACCTTTGATGAAAACAAGCCGGTCCTTGTTCATGGGATTTTAGAGATGTGGATCTATGTGATGACGGTCGGGGCAGATCGTCCGGTGAACTCTTGCATCTTCGAAAGCTTAAGGGCAACCTCCACCTATATACACAGTCAGCGAATCAGAGCCAGCCCGAAAAACTTGGCCACAAAGTTTTAATAATAAGACTGAGATTAATGATTAAACTCACAAGAGGACTAAGTGCTTCTGAGGATTCTCTGCTGATTTTCGATGGATCCTTCTCATACTGCTCAATGTAGAGTCGGATTGTGGCACCTTCTGAGCCGGTTCCTGAGAGGCGGAAAACCTGCAATCGTGTTCAAGGATGGGGAAGATTGACCAGCTCAAGTTAGCTCCATAAAGAGTATCCTTCAGAAATATATTTCAAAACAGATAAAACAAAAAGCATGTCAACTAACCAATCGTGATCCGTCCTCAAACAAGTACCGGATCCCCTGGTGTTTTGAGATGGAACCGTCAACAGGATCCTTGTACTCAAATTCATCGGCGTTGACAACATTGGAAACATCAGAGTGTAAGCCCTTCACAATCCTGTATAAATGAGCAGCACCAGTATGTCAATAAAAATAAAAGATCTCTTAAGAGTTAATTTAAGATGGCTTTCAGCTTTCACATTGTTTAAAGGAAGACAGGCTCAACTAAACTAAAGCATGTCAAATTTCAAACCATAATTGGACCTATCGGGGTGTTGTTTCTTCGAAACCTAACGGAAAATACCAAGAAGGTTCTCTCCAGACAGATAACATGTACATAACAACAACCCCAAATAGGCAAATATCCAACAACTAAACAAGGTGTCGCACAACAACGCAATTGAGAAAATTATCAAGAGAGACCGCCCTCACATAGACCAATTCTAATCTCAAATGAAGTATCCACAGACAATTATTGAATTAACAAAATTAACGAAACCGGGAACCCATGGACAAGAATTTCAACTCAGAACAAGTCTATGACTGTTGAACTTCCTTTTCACCCATTTTATATTCTTCAAGACAGGGGGCAAAAGCATGAATTTCCTGTTATGCATAAGTTTCCAACAAGTTTCAGTTAATAGTCTGAGAAACGACAAGAGTAAACATACTTGTTGACTTCAGAAAGATCAGATTGCAATTTCACCAAAGAAGCCATCAGTTCCTTTGCTTTACCTGCATCCACATTCTTCAAGAAAAAATACAATAATTAAAAGCAATAAAAGATTCTCAAGTTGAACATTCGGAAGAACACCTCAAAATGTTACCAAACCTCATAGTCGTATCGTGTATAATAATGGCGACCAAAGGTAGCCCAATGCTTACGAACTATGTCCTCAACACTGACAAGCTTCTCCCCACCAAGATTTTCCTTATTTTTGTAAGCAAGTATGGATAACCAAGCTAAAACTGCCCAGATACCATCTTTCTCACGGATATGGTCGGAACCTGTCCAAGGACACAACCAATGACAACGCACCGAGATTGTATAAGTTTCTAACAATTCCAATGTTGATTTAACTACTTTAGAGTGTACTTCCTGAAAACTGACCTGTTCCAAAACTTTCTTCCCCACAAACTGAGCATAAACCAGCATCCATTAAGTTACCGAAAAATTTCCAGCCAGTAGGTACCTGGGGTTTATAGCAAATACAACTAAAGTTAAAATTTTATTATGCCAGCAGCATAGGGACTTGAGAGAGAAAGGGAGGGTACCTCAAAAAACTTCAAATTCAAATGTTTGGCTACAACATCAAGGGCAGCAGAGGTAGGCATGCTCCTACAAGTGGGAAAGGTCAAAAGATGATAATCAAGAACATCTAGGCATGAAACGAGATATCCAAAAGACGGACATTTTATAAAAAGATTATTCAAACCCACGATAATAGATTGCCAAATTCCAAAGTCCACAAATACTCTAGGAGATGAATGAAAAACTTTTAACAAATTTACGTTGCTCTATAATGAAACACACTGCAAGCTAAGCAGCACAATAAAGTACCTGGCAACTCCTTTCAGACCAGTTTTGAAGTAAGGTATGGCGTCAACTGCATTTGCAGCAATGATGGCTACAGAATCCGATGGGGTAACAAAAAACCTAATAAAACAAGACAAGTTATGAATGCAACTTAAAGACAAGATTAGAACTAATTCACAAGTCTAATGCTACCTTTTACCAAGGACCATGTTACGATCAGCATCACCATCAGCAGCAGCACCAAACTCTGGGGGCTCATCTGCAGTATTTGATTTACCCAGTCCCATACGTGCAACCAACTCCTTTGCATAGGTCAGATTAGGATCTGGATGCCCTCCTCCAAAGTCTTCCTGTTTGCATGAAGTCAATCACAGGGAAAAGAGTGAATCAAATGGATACAATGAATTTAGACTCTATATTATTAGTGACCATAAAACTAAACTTTTTTCAGAACATAGAAACACCTTGGGTACACAGTTCAGTAATGAGCTTTCTTTTGCACCAAGCTCTTCCACAAAAATACGTTTTGCATAAGCTCCAGCAACTCCATGAAGCGCGTCATAACTTTAACATGACGACAGAGATAAGTCACACCACCTTTGATACTATGTGTGTACCCAAAAAGGAACTATTGGACTAAAGAAAATGAAAAACAGGAGCTACGTACATACCAGAATGAGAATTTTGGAGATGATAGCAGCTTCCGGATAGACTCGAAATCAAAGATTGACCTGGAAAATGAGAAGTAATTAAGTCAAATGAACACTGTCCTGATATTAAGCTAAGAAAATCATACACAAAAATGAAACCAAATTCATAGAGAAGAGAGTTCCTCTAAGAGATGTGCTTACATCATCAATTTCACATAATCACTTGCCGAATCAAAAACATCAACATCAAAAGTTCCACCGTCCACCGAAAAGGTGGTGACACCTACTTCAGTGATATCCACCTGTCACATACAGTGGAAGTTCTGTCATTACAATAAATGGAACTCGATCCTGCAGCAGTCTTGTAATAAAATTTAAAGTAAATAAAAAATATGGAGCTTAGATTTGATGGATTACATCGGGTAGGTCGACTGTAAAATACTCCTTTATTTTTGTTGTGTTCTCATATATCTTGTCGGTGATTGACTCTGGAGCAGGTCCACCATTTCCCATGTTGTATTTAATCCCAAAATCCTGCAATATTACCAATCAGTACCAAGTAACAAATTGTTGGCTCTGCCAACTGTTTGAACAGACTATTATATTTACTTTCTTCTCCTAATTCCAAACAAACTTATTGTTTCATATTGTTCCTCTTCCAAGAAATATGTTACCATCCATCTCTTTGGAACTGCATCTTATTTGATGCTTAGATACCAGATGATTTGCAGGAATCATCCGATAATTATATAACGTTCCTAATTCTTTATAATTTATAACACAAGCCTATTTAGGCAGGTATCACTAACCTCATTTGGGCCACCTGGATTGTGACTGGCGGTCAGTATAAATGCTCCTGATGCCTTTGATCCCTGGATTCAAATCACACACATATGAAGCAGTTCACAACCAATAATATTAATGGTGATGATGATTACAATAAGGGCTAGATCCTAACTCAATATAACTTACATCTGCACCAACTCTTTCACGTACGATAGCTGACACAGC